GGGGAAAAAAGTGTCAGGCAGGGCCCTCGCGTTTCGAGTTTCGCACAGGGGCCTCGCACCACCCCTTGGGACGGCCTGCCCAAAAAATACCCTCTCATGGCTCCACTACTGAGGAAGGCTCTGGGGCGCTGCGAAAAGGAAACGAGATGGGTCTGTCTGAGGCTTGCAGTACGGAGGCGCGTGTCGATTAGTAGGCGTGTTCGGGTACGTGACGTCACTACCCGACACGCTACACATGAATTTTGAATCCACTTGAGCTTCTGCAAGTATATCCGTTGAGGAAAGGACATGGCAGGACCGTACGCAAACCAGTAAGTGTCAACCAAACAAACGTGTTTTATGTATTTTTTAGGCCGTCCCTCCAGTTACAGTGTATTATGAATAAATGCACTATCACCCTGACTAGAAATGTTTTTTAAGAAGTGAACTAATACATTGGCAGAGAAAGCAATTGTATGGGTTTCTCTAAGAGTCCATGTGCCATCGACATGTCAGGTACATAGTATAATAGGTAATAGTATAATATATACAAATATAATATTGCCCAAGTCATTTTTGCATCGTTAAAAAGTGGTAATAAGGAGAAAAACATAACTCTTTACTGTTTTCCAAGAACAGTGGAGAATTTAGTTAGGCAATTATGTGATGTAGCTCACGATGTTTCCTATCACAGTTACATGAAGTCACTGCCTTAGTTATTGGGATTGTGTTCCAAGATATTTGTGTTTCTGAGTGTGCACAAATGGCTGCTTTTATGTCTGCTTTCGTTGCATCGCTATTTGTCTGTGATGGGAATTCAGGATCCAGTGCTGAAGCCGGGGAGGAAACACGCTCCGTCGTGGAACTGTTTTAAACATGGCGGAGAAGCACAAATGTCACACAAGTGCAAACCATGAGAGGGCATCTGGTTGTCATGGAGCTATGTTTTACTTCGATCCAGGTGTTGTGCAATATTGTACACTTTGTTCTTTAAAAGTGATTGTCTAGTGTTTGTCAGAAAGAGAGGACAGAGAGGTACTTGATTTGAAAAAAAAAACAACCCTAAGCTCCCTCCCCCTTCCTTTCTGATTGGTCTCACGCTCTTACGGGAAGTATAGCATGATTTATATAATGTTTGTTTTTACTTTAGTAGGCCGAGCGCACCAGGCTGGCACAGGGACTTTTGTAATGAAAGTGTGCTAAAACACTGAACCCCCCTCAAACATAACCATGTCATGGTACTTGTTTCATGGGGGGGGGAACGTTACTGTACTAAAACTCTGCATTGCAACATGGTTGACTGTACAGAGACCATAAAGTTCATTAAGTGGCAAGTCCACTGCATATATTAAACCAGGACACAACACCTGTTAGGGCTTGCATGTGGTTTTGTGAACTGTTGTTGTTGAATGTAACACATTTTTCTCGTATCTTTGGTGACAGTTCCACACTATGGCCCGGGCATTCACCGCCTCAGCAAGAGGCAATTGAAACATTCATTAAAGGGGCCACAAGTTATGAACCATGGTAAGATGCTTAAATATTGAATGGACATATTTCACTGTGCACTGCACAATTAATCTGTGATTGTTGCTTTATGGACAGTGAGTTTAAAATGATTGCAAATGATCTGGTGAGGCATTTACAGAGGAGGCAGCTAGGGAGGCTGAAAGCTTTCCAAGAGAGATGGAGATTGGCGCTCTCCTCCTGGACTGCCTTCTCTCATGATTAAATAAAGAGAATTGTTTGTGTTGAACTTATTCAGTGTCTACATTTCAGAGCCATTCAGATAACACAAATTTCATAAAAAGCATTGTACATAAATTGCCAGAAAACAATTTGTTCTTTTTGTTTAATCTCCCTCTTCTACATTACAAATTGACATAAACACAAATAGTAATGAAGGTCTGCTTGTCCCAAAAGGCCAAAGTTTGGGCACAAAAATGTTATGGCCATGTTCTCTTTATGATCAGTAATGTGGAGACTATGGGTGTAGGGTGTGTGGTGGTGGTGGTGGTGTAATATATCTTTTAACTTGTAATGTACTTTTCAATTCCTGGTTTGACAAGTTTCTCAAACCGCCACACTACTTTATTCATTTATTCCACACAGTGTGTCACAGCTGTGTTGGAGGATGCCAGGCTACTATCTGTGCTATTGGCCACACCAAGGCAGTCTCTCACTATGTGCCACACATGTGGGTGAAGAGCATTGCTCAAGAATACTGGATGCACTTGGGGCAGCCCGGATTTGAGCCACAACCATAGGCCCCTTTTATAATGAATGTACACATTAACATAATGCATGGCAGTATTTGACTCATTAACTTTTGTCCTGAGCTGCTTCAACTCCCTATTGATTGATAGTCTGAAAGTAATGGCAGCTTTTGTAGGCAAATTTACTACTTTGATCTTTACAAAATTCCGTCCATTTTCCCCAATAAATAATATTGACACTGACAGGCGCCATTAAAATTCATTATTGCGATAAATTCATTGGCATAGATAGTACTCATACTACTCTACCGATATTATAATAGATCCATGCTCATACACGCGGGACCTGTGGGCGCTGTCGAGTAGTGACGTCCACTACCCGACACGCCCACTACTCGACAAGCCTCCGACTGCAGGCCGGACAGATACACTTGAAAAAGTCTTTAAAACTCTTAAAACGATCTATCCCTCAATTTAAGACAAATGTTTTGCCTAATTTCCAGCATTTTTACGGGCTTATCTTTCTCATCACTTTTCACCTTATGTTTGTCTCTGGCCCCTCTCAGAACGCTACGGGGTCGAATCTTCCGATCTGAGACATCTAGCTAGACCCCGCCCCCCCTTGTCAATCAGCACAAACCACAAAAACAACCCAATATTATTTATAAATGACTTTATGCCAAGTGAGAATCGGACTTTGTGGACACATTACTAACAGCGCTAGCCGTACAGAGAACCGTCAATAATGATCTTTAGAAAGAAAAACACAATCCTAGAAGAAGAAACAACACCCAAGGATCCTTGGCGCACAAACCCCAACATGGAGAAACAAGGCTTTCCTGGTTATCAGCAGAAAATGGAGTAAAATATATATCAAAACTCCCAGACATTTTTTTCCCCCTTTAATCTGCATCGTAGAGAGGGGAGGAGGAGGGACTTCTGTTTTAAAAATGACGTATATTCAAAGTGGTAACCATAGGCAACGGTGGATCCTTCCATTCAGTCGTCAAAAAACGCATATAAAAATATTTTTTTTTAAACCCCAGGGCCAATGCAGGGTTTGAACGGGCACGCGGGAAAGGTGAGATTTATGAGCCTTTGAAAGTGAAAGTAAAGTAATTAACACGCTCATGCTTTTGTAACTGTGCTAAAAGTTTGATTTCATACAATTTATACAAAATAAAAAACTGAAAAGTTAATGAGATTCGAACTTGAACCTCATTGAAACTAATATCTGATATTTGATGTTTTTTATGTTAAGATGTTGTTTTAGGTGAGAATTACTATTTTCATGTTTAGTCCGAGAGAGACCAGAGAGACCAGAGAGGAGCCCAGAGAGAGAGACAGAGAGAGACCAGAGAGAGACCAGAGAGAGACCAGAGAGAGGCAGAGAGAGAGAGGCCAGAGGAGAGGCAGAGAGAGAGGCCAGAGAGAGACCAGAGAGGAGGACCAGAGAGAGACCAGGAGTGAGACCAGATGAGAGAGACCAGAGCCAGAGACCAGACGAGAGACCAGAGAGAGGCCAGAGAGAGAGGCGAGAGAGGACCAGAGAGAGGCAGAGAGGAGACCAGAGGAGACCAGAGGAGAGAGGCCAGAGAGACCAGAGAGAGACCAGAGAGAGGCCTGAGAGATGAGACCAGAGATACACCAGGGTTGTCATCAGAGAGAGAGGCCCCGAGGAGACCAGTGAGAGACCAGAGAGAGCCAGTGCGGACCGAGAGAGAGCCCAGAGAGACACAGAGAGACACCGAGTGAGAGACCAGTGAGATGTAGGACTAGGGAGAGAGACCAGAGAGAGACCAGAGATGAGACCGAGACGAGGACCAGAGAGAGAGACCAGAGAGAGGAAGAGACCAGAGAGAGACCAGAGGAGAGACCAGAGAAGACCAGAGAGAGAACCAGAGAGAGACCAGAAAGAGACCAGAGAGAGACCAGAGAGAGACAGCGAGAGACCACTGTGTCCTGTTTGATTTTCTGATCCCGTGTCGACGAATCGTCAACTTGGGTAAAGTCTTTGACGAGGCTAAAAAAACTAGAATAGACTTGTTGTGATGAAAAACAGTTAAACCATTATTTTAGTAGAAACTTAAGCTGCTGAACCTACGTTTTGTTTCGAGCTGAAAATGTTGTTTGGTCCGCGATAGAAAAAGTTGTGAGGAAATGTGTTTATTGTGGATAAATCCGAGTCATCTCCCCAGGTCATGTGCTTGACGTGATCCAACAGTCCCTGTGAGTCACTATTTGACCTTTGGGCTCAGACAGAAAATAAGTATTAGTTTTTTACATGAGCTTTGAAAATAGAGGACACAGCCATGCTTTAAGTCTCGCACCAAATGTTACTGCTATAAAGGAACCACGTGGAATACTCTGAGGAGCACTGGGACTGGCCCTCCTGCTGTCGACTCTAGGAGCACAGGGACTGGCCTCCTGCGGGACTCTGAGGAGGCACAGGGAATGGCCTCATGCTGGGACTTGAGGAGCACAGGGGTACTGGCCTCATGCTAGACTGAGGAGCACAGGGACTGGGACTCCCTGCTTGGGACATAGGGCACAGGGATGGCCTCCTTTGCTAAGACTCTGAGGAGCACAGGGACTGGCCTCTGCTAAGACTCTGAGGAGCACAGGGACTGGACTCATGCTGGGACTCTGAGGAGCACGGGATGGCCTCTCCTGCTCAGACTGAGGAGCAACAGCGGACTGGCCTCCTGCTTGGACTCTGTTGAGCACAGGGACTGGCCCTCCTGTGGGTAGGATCTGAGGAAGACAGGGATGGTCTCCTGCTGGACTGAGGAGCACAGGGCCTGGTCATCTGCTGGGACTTGAGGAGCACAGGGACAGGCCTCTGCTAAGACTTGAGGAGCACAGGGATGGCCTCTGCTGGGACTCTTGAGGAGCACCAGGGATGGGCTTCCTGTGGGGGACTGAGGAGCCACAGGGACTGGCCTCCTGCTGGGGACGTGAGGGCACAGGACTGGCTCCTGCTGGGACTGAGAGCACAGGGATTCTGGTCTCCTGCTGGGACTGAGGAGCACTGGGGACTGGTCTCCTGCTGGGATTGAGGTGCACAGGGGATGGCCTCTGCTCGGGGACCGTGGACGCACCAGGGACCTGGCCTCCTGATGGGACTATGAGGAGCACAGGGACTGGCCTCCTGCTGGGACTTCTGAGGAGCACCAGGGGACTGGCCTCTGCTGGGGACTCTGAGGAGCACATGGGGTCTGGTCTCCTGCTGGTCCCAGAGTGGAATAAACATGGGGATAGGCAGTGTTTCAGATTTATGCAGCTATCAAAAACAGTCCTTCCTGAAAACGTGAGACGGGCAATATTCAAATCCAGGTTTAAAAACAGATTTAATCCTGACTTTCTGATTTTAAAGGCCTAGTTCTTGTGAGTTGCCGTGGTGGACCCGGGGTGTGCTATACCCATAACCTTGCTAATGCTAAAGGGTTATGAACATATGACATCAGTGACTTTTCGCGTGGCCTGCACCAGCATTTTGGTGTTACAATTTGAGTAACTTCTGAACCATCAAACGCAGATAAAAATTAATATGTACATGTAGATACGGATTACAGGTGTAAAAAAATAACAAGAATACAGATTACATACAGGTGAACAGAACATGAAAGAACCATATGAACAGAACCATGAAACAGAACATGAACACGCTCAGAGCAGAGGAGTCATTTTCTGTGTCGTTCCTAAAAACACATAGTTCACTCATCTGGTCCACAAAGCAGTGCCATCACCACCTGGACGGCGTTGCTCCGGTGTCCTGGCCGTGACTGCCCTTCCTCTGATTGCTGCACGTCACGTTCCTGAGGAAAAAGGTACTTGTAGAAGAAGAAAGCAGTTTGTGTTGTGGGGACGTGAATGCTTCTCGGCAAATGACGCCTTTTTGTGTTCCACGGAAATCACAGTTGCATCTTTTTGTTTTTCCCCCGTTCGGAGTTTGAATGGTATAGACCAGGGGAGAGAACCAGGGGGAGACCAGTGAGAGACCAGTGACAGAGACAGGGGAGAGGACCAGGGAGAGATCGGGGAGACGAGAACAGGGGAGAGACCAGGTTGATGAACTTTGTTTGTTGTCTAGGACGACACAGAAATGATCCTCTGCTCTGAGCGTGTTCATGGTTCTGATCATGGTTCTGTTCTATGGTTTGTTCATGGTTTGTTCACCCTGTATGTAATCTGTATTCTTTTATTTTTTCACCTGTATCCGTATTTCTACATGTACATATGTTATTTTTTATTCTGTCGTTTGACGTTCAGAAGTTTACTCAAATTGTAACACAAAAAAATGCTGGTGCGAGGCCACGCGGAAAAAGTCACTGATGTCATTTGTTCATAACCCTTTAGCATTAGGCAAGGTTATTTGGTTATAGCACAGTCACACACCGGCAATCTCACAAGACAGGCTTTAACTCAGAAAGTAGGATTAAACTCTGTTTTTTAACCTGGATTTGAATATTGCCAGACTCACGTTTTCTGGAAGGACTGTTTTTAGCTGCTAAATCTGAAACCCACCTGCCTCCCCTTGTTTAGTCCTGACTCTGGGGACCAGCAGGGGTAGACCAGTCCCTGGTGTCCTCAGAGCCCAGCAGGAGGCCCGTCCCTGTGCTCTCGAGTCCAGCAGGAGGCCAGTCCTGTGCTCTCAGAGTCCCAGCAGGAGGCAGTCCTGTGCTCCTCAGTACCAGAGGAGGCCAGTCCCTGTGCTCCTCAGGTCCCAGCAGGAGACCAGTCCTGTGCTCCTCGTCCAGCAGGAGACCGTCCTGTGTCTTTTTGTCTTTTTTTTCCTTTTTTTACTCCAGTCCCAGCAGGAGGCCAGTCCCTGTGCTCTCAGAGTCCAGCAGGAGGCCTGTCCCTGTGCTCCTCAGTCCCAGCAGGAGGGCCCAGTCCCTGTGCTCCTTCAGAGTCCCAGCAGGAGTCCATCCCTGGCTCCTCAGAGTCTTAGCAGGCGGCCAGTCCCTGTGCTCCTCAGGTCCCAGCAGGAGACAGTCCCTGTGCCTCCTCCATCCCAGCAGGAGACCAGTCCCTGTGCTCCTCAGGTCCCCAGCAGGAGGCAGTCCCTGTGCTCATCAGAGTCCCAGCAGGAGGCCAGTCCCTGTGCTCCTCAGTCTTAGCAGGAGGCCAGTCCCTGTGCTCCTCAGCGTTCCCAGCCGGAGGCCAGTCCCTGTGCTCCTCAGAGTCTTAGCAGGAGGCCAGTTCCCTGTGTTTTTACTCCTCAGGCTTAGCAGGAGGCCAGTCCCATCGTGATCCTCCAGTCCCGCAGGAGGGCCAGTCCTGTGCTCCTCAGTCTTAGCAGGAGGCCAGTCCCCTGTGATCTCCTCAGAGTCCAGCAGGAGGGCCAGTCCCTGTGCTCCTCAGAGTCCCAGCAGGAGGCCAGTCCCTGTGCTCCTCAGGTCACGCAGGAGGCAAGTCCCTGTGCTCATCAGGAGTTCCCCGTGGTTCTTAGAGCATTAACATTTGGTGCGAGACATAAAGCTGTGGTCTCTATTCAAAAGTCATGTAAACATCTTATACATATTTCTGTCTGAGCCCAATAAGGGTCAATAGTGACTCACAGGGACTGGTGGTTCACGTCAGCACAATGACCTGGGGAGATGACGTCGGATTTATCCACAATAAACACATTTTCTCACACTTTTTCTATCGCGACAAACACATTTCAGTCTCGAAACAAAAACTTTAGGTTTCAGCAGTTTAAGTTTTATAAATAGATGTTTAACTGTTTTCATCACACAATTCTATTCTATGTTTTAGCCTCGTCAAAGGACTTTTTACCAAGTTGTCGGATCTTCGACACGGATACAGAAATCAAACAGACACAGTGGTCTCTCTCTGGTCTCTCTCCTGTCTCGCTCTGGTCTCTTTCTCGGTCTCTCTCTGGGTCCTCTCTCCTGGACTCTCTCTGGTCTCTCTCTCTGGTCCTCTCTCTGGTCTTTCTCTGGTCTCTATCTCTGGTCTCTCTCTGGTCTCTCTCTGGTCTCTCTCTGGGCTCTCTCCCTGGTCTCTCTCTCTGGTTCTCTCTTGTGTCTCTCTGGTGTCTCTCTGGTCTCTCTCTCTGGTCTTCTCTGGTCTCTCTTGGTCTCTCTCTGGCTTCTCTGGGCTCTCTCTCTGTTGTCTCTCTGGTGTCTCTCTGGCCACTCTCTCTCTGGCACTCTCTGGTCTCTCTCTGGTCTCTCTGGCCTCTCTCGCTGGTCTCTCTCTGGTCTCTTCTGGTCTCTCTCTGGTCTTCTCTGGCCTCTCTCTCTGGCCTCTCTCTGGTCTCTCTCTGTCTTCATCTGGTTCCTCTCTCTAGGTCTCACTCTCTGGTCTCTCTTGGTCATCTCTTGGTCTCTCTTGGCCTCTCTCTCTGGCCTCTCTCTGGCCTCTCTCTGGCTCTCTCTGGTTCTCCTCTGGTCTCTCTTGGTCTCTCTCTGTCTCTCTCTTGGCTCTCTCTCTGGTCTCTTGGTCTCTCTCTTGTTAAACAGTGAAAATAGTCAATTCTCACTAATACAAATCTTAACATAAAAAAACATCAAATATCAGCTATAGTTTTCAAATGAGTTCAGTTCGAATCTCATTTAACATTTCAGGTTTTATTTTGGTATAATTTGTATGAAATAAAATTTTAGCACCAGGTACAAAAGCACTGAGCCGTGTTAACTTTACTTTCACTTTCTAAGGCTCATATTCACCTTTTCCCGCGTGGCCCGGTTCAAACCTCTGCATTGCGGTATATTTTTATATTGCTGTTTTTTGACGGAGCTGAATGGAAGGTTCTCACCGTTTCCTGGTTACTCACTTTGAATATACGTCATTTTAAAACAAAAGTCACCTCCCCCTCTCTCGATGCAGAGTTAAAGGGGATTGTCTGGGTGTTTTTAGATAAATATTTTTACTCCCATTTTCTGGCTGATAACCAGGAAAGCCTTTTGGGCTCTCAGTGTTGGGTTTGTGCGACCGGATCCTTGGGTTGTGTTATTATTAGGATTGTTGTTCTTTCTAAGCGATCATATTGACGGTTTCTGTTACGGCTGCGCTGTTCGAATCGTGTCCACAAAGTCGTATTCTCACTTGGCATAAAGTCATTTTTTAATTAATATTGGGTTGTTTTGTGCGTTGTGCTGATTGAAAGGCCACGTGCGGGGTCTAGCTTTGATGTCACAGATTCGGAGGGCTTCGACCCGGAGCGTTTCTGTGTGGGCAGAGCAGACAAAGAGTGAAAAGTGATGAGAAAATAGTCTAAAAATGCTGAAATTAGGCAAAACATTGTGTCTTAATTGGGATTAGATCGATTTCGTGTTTTTTAAGACTTTTTCAAGTGTATCTGTCTGCGCCTGCAGTACGGAGGCGTGTCGAGTAGTGGGCTGTGTCGGGTAGTGGACGTCACATACTCGACACGCCACTCCGCGTGTATGAGCATGGATTATTATAATACGAGTTGATGAGTAGTAGTGAGTATATCTTATGCCCAATGAATTTATGGCGCAATAATGAATTTTATGGGCGCATGTCATTGTCAATATTATTTATTGGGGGTAAATGGACGAATTTTGTAAATATTCAAAGTGTTCAAATTTGCCTACAAAAGCTGCCATTACTTCAGACTATCAATCAATAGGATTTGAAGCAGTAGGACAAACAGGGTTTATGAGTCAAATAATGCCAGTGCTTATGTCTAATGTGTACTTTCATTTATAAAAGGGGCCTTATGGTGGTGGCTCACAAATCTGGCTGCCCATGTGCAGTCTTGGTATGTTCTTAGCAATGCACTTCACCAACCTGGTGGACCATGTGGAGACTGCTTGGTGGTGGGCCAATTGCACAGAATAGTAGCTGGCATCCTCCAACCCAGCTGTGCACACTGTGTGGAATAATGAATAAAGTTAGGAGGCGTTTTGAGAAACTTGTCAACACAGGATGAAAAGTACATTACAAGGTTAAGATATTATTCACCACCACCACCACCACACACTCCTACACCCTTGTCTCCCCACATTACTGATCATCAAGAAGAATGCCATACATTATTGTGCCCAACTCTTGGCCTTTGGACAAGCAGACTTCATTACATTGTGTTTTTGTAAAATTTGTATGTAGAAGAGGGTGATTAAACAAAAAGAAACAACTTGTTTTCTGGATTTTCTGACATGCTTTTTATGAATTTGTGTTATCTGAAATGGGACCTTGAAAAGTAGACACTGAATAAGTTCAACACCAAAACAATT